AGTATTGAATCTCTTTGCGCACATTTCACATAAGTAATTCTTGTAAACTTCGTGGAATATTTTTTTGTGCTTGAGTAAAGTTGACTTATTTTCAAACTTCATCTTGCACTTATTGCATGAGTAATCATCACCATCTTTGTGTACTAATTTTTGGTGCGTTAACAAACTCGAATTTTTCACAAATTTTTTCTCGCACTGTTCGCATGCAAAATCTTTGTTGACTTTATGTACTGATATTTGGTGTCTACTCAAATGACTTTGGAACTCGAATTTATCTTCGCACTTGTCTCATGCGTAATTTTTCTCTTTATTGTGAACTGTGCCTCGGTGTATTATTATGCTGGATTCTAGTGTAAATGCCCCCTGACACATATCACCAATGTTTTGTTTGTAGTCTGAAACAACAATGTCATGTACACTTGAATTATTTTTCGAAACAACTTCCTCGAATTTCTTTTTATTTTTATCCATTGTAGCGCCTAAAGTAAACGTTGGATCCTTCTACTGAGTTCCACAAAAATCGAATAAGCAAAATTGATCATTTGGTATTATGGCTCGACTTTCAAACTTAATTAATTTTACTATAAACATAATCAGTGTTTGAGGGACTATTTCAAAACTGTTTATAATCATACTGTTTACAATGAAGATACTGATTTATCTGATCATATATTTTGCCTACAATATTCAAACCAGTTTATAATTTAAACTGGGCAACAATTTCTTGGGAGAATTTTTTTAACAGTTTAAAATTAAATACTCTAAAAAAGCTCCATGTGCCATTGAGTATTATTATAAAAAATGTTAATATTCATTCCAAAATTTTGCACCACGTGCCATGGCACGATTGGCGTACTTCGTGATCTACCACTGTATATTGCACTAACGCCGCATAAAAAAGTGTAATTTTCAGTAGTAACTTTAAAAGATCGATCCCCTTTCGAGTAGGAAAGCGTACATATATAACAAACAATTGTCAGGCGATAAAGAAAAGAAATGTCGATTTCAATAATTTTCAATAATGAGTCTTAAAAACATTTTTTCATTATCGAGGTGATTTTTCTTGCAGGCCGATTTCAACAATTTATTGTTTCTATTTACGTTCTGAATTGACCACTGTTTTCGTTACCTTACATACATAAAAGTGATACTGTACCGAATTGATATAATTTTATTTGACAATTTTGAATAATCTTTATGTCATGTGCTAACATGTTTATTTTACCAAAAGTCTAATTTGAAGCTTTAGTAAGTATTCAAACCCCCTTTAATTATTAGTTTATTCATATTTGTCGTGTCTGTTTTAATATTTTGTATTTAAATGAATTATATCCCCGTATGTTGTAATAGGTGATTAGAAAAAGAGCTGGCCCCATGCAAACTTCCATTTGCTCATACAATTTGAAGAGCTTCAACATAAAATTTTTGATTGGTAAGAGTACATAGAAAAGGAAAAAACAATCTTGAGAGCTTTTACTACAATTGATGAAATGTAGTTTGGTTTAATTCAAATGATTAAATGGTTTACAAGTTGGTTTTTTTCACTGAGATATTTATGGTTAATGCTGATCACTTTATTATTAGCAGAATAGTCTGTCTTTAAATTTAAATTATCAAAATATTTCATTTGTACATGTTGGATTAGTTCAGAGTCGCAATATTATTACGTGAGGTTTATAAAAAAAGTCAGTCAGTTTTAAATAATACGTGATTTTTAAGATCTTCGTATACCATATTTTGGTGTGAGGGCAAATGCAATTAGGCTCGCATTTAGGCTAAATTTCCTCTCGAATTATCGCATACGAAATCTTTGCGACTTTTATGGATGGTTATGGTATGAAAGAGCAAGCCACTTTTACGTCCGAATTTTTTTTCGCATTTCGCGCATGAGTAGTCTTTGCGACCTTCGTGGATTGTCTTTTGGTGTCTCAACAAATCTGATTTACTTCTAAAATTTTTTTCGCAATTGTTGCAAGCAAAATCTTTGCGACCTTCGTGTACTACCATTTGGTGTCTGAGCAAATTCGATTTTCGTCCAAAATTTTTTTCGCACTTGCCACATGCGAAATCTTTGCGACCTTCATGTACTATTTTTTGGTGTTTGAATAAATCTGATTTTTGTTCAAACGTCTTCTTGCACATATTGCATGTGTAATCTACGCAAATTTCGTGTATGGTCTGTTGGTGAAAATCGAAACTAGATTTGTGTCTAAATTTCTTCTCGTATTTTTCACGTGTGTAATCTTTTCGACTTTCATGTATTATCATTAGGTGTTTTCTCAAATTGCTTTTATCCGCAAATTTCTTCTTACATTTGTTGCAAGCAAAGTCTTTGCGACCTTCGTGTACTATCCTTTGGTGTTGGAGCAAGTTCTGTTTTTGTGCAAATTTTCTCTCGCACTTGTCACATGCGAAATCTTTACGACCTTCATGAACTGTCTTTTGGTGCAAAATCAAATACTGTTTATAGTCAAATTTCTTTTCGCATATATCGCACATGTGATCTTTTCCACCTTCATGTATTGTTTTTTGGTGTCTTCTTAAATTGCTTTTATCCCCAAATTTCTTTTGGCATTGGTTACATGCGTAATCTTTGCGACCTTCATGGATTGCTCTTTGGTGGGAGAGTAAACTTGGTTTTTGTGTAAATTTCTTTTCACACTTGTCACATGCGTAATCTCTACGACCTTCATGGACTGTTTTTTGGTGTATAAGTAAAGTCTGCTTTGGCCCAAATTTCTTCTCACACTCATCACATGCATAATCTTTGCGACCTTCATGGACTGTATTTTGGTGCTTGATCGAATCCGATTTTATTCCAAAATTCATCTCACGCTCTTTGCAGTTTAAGTCTTTGCGATAGTCATGTGCCATCTTTATGTGCAAGAGCAAATTATGTTTATTTCCAAATCTTTTCGCGCACTTTTCACATAAATAGTCTTTGAAAACTTCGTGGAATATTTTTTTGTGCTTGAGTAAAGTTGATTTATTTTCAAATTTTCTCTCACACTTGTTGCATGTTAAATCATCGCGATTTTTATGTACTAACTTTTGGTGCGTTAACAAACTCGATTTTTTCACAAATTTTTTCTCGCACTGATCGCATGAAAAATCGTTGTGGCCTTTGTGTACTGATATTTGGTGTCTACTCAAATGACTTCGGAACTCAAATTTATTTTCGCACTTTTCGCATGCGTAATTTTCCTTTTTATTGTGAATTGTGTCTCTGTGAGTTACCATACTTGATTCTAGTATAAATGCTTCCTGACAAATATCACAAATGTATTTTTTGTTGTCTGAAACAATAATGTCGCATTCATTTAAATTTTCTCGTGCAACAATTTCTTCTGATTTCTTCTCACTTTTATCCATTTTAGCACTTAAAATGAACGTTACTTCCTTCTACTGAGTACCACAAAAATCGAATAAGCAAAATTTATCTTTTGTTATTATGACCAAATATTCAAATTTATTTACAATAAACACGATCAATGTTTGCGGGACTATTTCAAAATTGTTTGTGATTATATTATTTACAATGAAGAACAGATATTATCTCTTCATACATTTTGCTTACAATATTCAAACCTGTTTATAATATGAACTTAGCAATGATTTCTTAGGAGAATATTTTGGCTATCTAAAATTAAATATTTTAAAAAAACTCTCTTTGAAATCGAGTAATATTATAAAAACTTTGTTAATTTATTCCAAAATTTAACGTCCCCATATGCCATCTCTTGTTCATGGCGTTCAACTAAGAGAATTACAGTCTAATAATATAATGCAATGCTCATTTTCGAAGACGTTTAGAACTTCATTCGTTTGTGCATAAACATGTTATGATGTGAAATGGAAATTGGACCTTTTTATAACTACTAACATGGATAAAAAATCACAGGAAGCCTCATGTTCATGTATCTGTAGGTGACCCCAAAAAATGTTTGGAAAAGATTTGTCCCCTGTAGCTGAAGTGGTCTTCCTCGTGAGTGTAAAAATTTCAAAAGCAAGGTTCAATTCGGAGTTGGTACGGTCGTTGCGCACCAAGTGGTCAGTTGCGCCAGTCGCAGTCACAGCCAATTCAAGTTTTAGGTGAAAGTAGGCGTTGCAAAGCATCTGTAATTTCATGTACCTCGTGTCATTCGGTAATAATTAGAAAGTGAAAGTCCGCAGCGGAGTAAAAGTAAATTGTACGAATTACGACTCCGCAACTTGAATAGCTGTACACGAAGATCGGCATCGACCGAAAAAATACGTAGGGCACTCGTGACTAAAATAAAAAAAAAAACATTTTGTGATATTGTGTACCGTGTGTGTGAGTGCGCAAAATGTTTCGTTCGGCCTGTGACCAGCTTGTACAAGTGGATCATCCTAAGGATTGGAGTATCGAAAACGAGAGACTCGAATTTCTTCGTCGACTCGAGCCTTCGATCAGCAATTGGGAGGGCCAACCTCCAAATCTACTGGACGTATTTCGAGCCGAACAAATCGAGCATCTTCTATCGGATTGTGTAAGAAACATCTAAATGTAACGATATGAATCTATATTTAACTCCTGACGGGGTCCACTCATTTAAGGGAGAGCGCTCAACGCTGCGTAGCCACCAAGCGGCTATCGTGAAAAGTAAGAATTCGAAGATACATTCGAAAAATACGCGTAATTTTAACAAGCGGCCTTTATTCTTATAAATGTAATTTTTTTGAAATTCTTATAAACACTTTTATTTGATACAAAAAAATGTATTAGACATACAGTGTAAAATTAATAATTATACAGTACTAATACTGTTCAGATATGTTTACGGTCTATCAGGGTCTACTGCAAATAGTCGAATAAAAATTAACTCAGCACAATGTTATTTCTACGGAATTCTTAAACATCAATAATACTTAATCATTGTTAAATATCTTGAGATATTCGACAAATGTCCAACACAAGTACAAAAATACACAAAATGCATCCTAACACAGTTCGCGATCGAGATAAAAAGTAAGATCGTTCAAAAGAGCTTTTGTCCAGCTGGCACGAGCGGCGTCCTCGCGTCGAGCTCCTCGTTCGACCGCACGTCCCTCGGGCTCGGCCCGACGAGCTCGAACAGTCGCGAGCCGCGTTTGGGACTGCTGGGCGCCGATCGACAGCTACCATCGGACGGTCTCTTTCCCATCGCAGTGGCTGCGCAGCTGCTGCTGGGCGACGTCTCGACGTCCGGCACGGTTCGATCTCGGAGCAGAGGTTCGCTGACGGCGGCGGCCTCGCTCGTGTCCAGTAACTGCACGCGGACGAATCGCGTCGACGTGTCTCGATGACACGGCGAGACGACGGTTTCGCCAATGTGCTCGACGCAGGGGCAAGAGCTGCTGGAAAAAAATGAGATGCTCAATCGTTTCTCAGGTATTATACGGTAGATAAGTGAAATTTAACGTACCTCGTCTTTTCCATGCAGAACGAGCCGTTCGAAATCGCAGCAGGAGCGTCAAGTTCATTGGCGATCATGGCCGCGTTGATGCCGTCGTTGTCCTTGTCGCTGCTCGCGGCACAGCAATCGCCGCTGCTCCTCGAGCCTTTGGCCGAGCGATCCAGACGATCCGAGCTGGCGAATCTCAGCCGCTTTCCGACCGGCGAGACGGTGAAGGACCGCGCGAACGACTGCGTGGTCTTGCTCTTCAGCGAGCTTCGCGGCACCAACGACAGCCTCTGTTGCTGCTGCTGCTCGCCCAAGAAGCTGTTGCTCGGCCTCGAGCCCCTGTTGTCCGGCCGACGCGCCAATCGCTCCCTGTGTCTCTGCTCGCGTCTGGCCGGATCCTCGCCTAGCAGCCAGTAGGTCAGTCGCTCGCCCTTGCCCTTCATGTGGACGAGGCCGCGCTCGGCCAGGCCAAACCCCCCGAGCTGGTCGAGCAGCAGCTTCGTCTCGAGGCTGCAGTGGACGCGCAGCGCCTGGCCCGTCGACTCCATGCGCGAGGCCGTGTTCACCGTGTCGCCGAACAGACAGTAGCGCGGCATCTTGCGGCCCACCACGCCCGCGCACACCGGTCCTGTTCGATAAAAATGATCACTTACCAATTTCGGCCGAGCCCTCGAATAATAATTATAAATTAATGAAATTTTAATTCGAATTCGTACCCGAGTGCAGTCCTATTCTCAGCTGCAGCTTGTCCAGAGGCCTGTGCCGTATGGAGAATCGCTCGATCGCGTGCAGCAGGTGCAACGACATGCTCGCTATCTCGCCGGCGTGTTGGATGCCGTTGCGGATCGGCAAGCCACTTACCTATTAATATTAAAATAGCGAAAAAAGAGTGACTTAATAAAATATATAATGATATACTCACCACCATGTAAGCATCGCCGATAGTCTCGACTTTATAAACGTCGTAATTTTCAATGGTCGAATCGAAGCAGGTGTAGAGATCGTTGAGAAAATCGACGACCTGTAACAAGAACATGTATACATATTTTTATCGATCGATTAAAAGTTGCTCAGCCAAGTATTATATATACCTGCAGAGGTGTGCTCTCGGCGGACATGGACGTGAAACCGACGATGTCGCTGAAGTAAATCGTCACGCAGTCGAAGTGCTCGGCCTCGACCTTGTGGCCGCGCTTGAGCTGCTCCGCCACGTAACGCGGCAGCATCTCGTACAGCAGCGCATCTGCCCGCAAATCCCAACCGATTATGTCACATTAAAATATCCACGCTATATATGTCTTCTCGAATTATTTACGCGCTTGAGAATTTTGTTTTACCGGTTTTTTTCTTCTCCTCGGACAATTGATCGGTACGCTCGTCGACCAGAGCCTCGAGATTGTTCGCGTACTTCTCCATCATGGCCATCATGTTGTCGAAAATATTGGCTTTCCTAGGGGGACAAAAGGTAAGAAATCAACGATTTAAAAGGAAGACGTGGCTGAACAATTTCTTCAATCAATCCTATTATAAGCTACTATATAAGCGAAATTTAATTTGATCGCTATTGAGGGTTTCGCGATGCGACATCTGTTATCGATGCATCTAACTTTAACGGCTAACTGCACGCTCTAACCTACTGGCGCTTTGATTTTACTTATAAACCGACAGTTAAAACACAAAACTCACAAGTCACCTTAAATTTTACGATTACAAATGTGCAATTCGCATGTGCATTAAAGAATAGCATGAAAAATGAAGCAATTAGTCGAAAGTGGAGAAAAGTTGAATAAAATTCGAGAAAAGAAATTCAACCAAGGAAAAAGACTCTGAAGTTTCATTTATAGCTCATTTAACTATATAATAAATCGAGTGCTGTTTTTTAAATTTATTCGAAAGCAAAACAATATTGATTGTCAGTCAACGGCTTTAAAAATTTCACATCTCGTTTTGTGTTTACACGTTTACATCGTGCATAAATTCGCGTATGGTAGACACAAATTTGCATAACTGTCTTCATGGATCATAGAAAAAGAAAAAAAATCGTGTAGACTCACATCCCTTTGCGCAGTGGCCGCAATTTGTTTCTAATCACTTTGAAATCCGGCCGTGCCTCCGGATTTTCGTCCCAACACTCGATGAGACAGTCCCTCACGAAATCGAAGGAATTTTCCAATTGATCCAAGGGTGGACTTTGTGAAAATAACGAAAATTTTATAACGTCAGAGTCACCACCGAGTTACACATTTACATAATGACGTATCATCTCACCGGAAGGGGACGCCACTCGGTTCCACGTTCGCGACCTTCTTCAGGATCTCCGCGGCCGAGAGCTTCGTGAGGCCGTACGGGCCGTGACGACGCTGCAGCTCGTACAGGACAATGGCGAAGGAGTAGACGTCGCCTCGCTGGAAATCCCGAGCGCTCGGCTCGGCGCTTCTCGAGCGCAGCAGTTCCGGCGCTCGGTACAACAGTCCTGCGGGGAAAAACCCAAAGTAATACTTGTGCCGGTCGAAAACGAAGGATTAAAGGGGAAAAAAAAAGGTGAAAATTAGTATGGGTATTTACCGCGACACTTTTTGGCGATGTCGGCGGCGTCGAGCTCGGCGTCGCGCTTGAACTCGTGCAGGCCGAAGTCGGCCAGCTTGACGACCCAGCGCGAGTCCACGAGGCAGTTGGACGTGCTGAGAGATCCGTGAAATTTCACCACCGACTCGTGCAGATAAATCATGCCCTGCGGGATACACGATATTGCGATCGTATTATAAAGGAATAAAAAAAAAGAGAAACGTACGCGTCGAAATTCGTGTATTATTAATATAATACAATATAAATTCGCGATTTGTCGTCGACAATTTCATGCCTTTTGTTATTCATGTAAATAACGTTTTGTTTCATTTTTATTTTTATTCATTTTTTATTTCCCCGGAGCACAAAAGCGTTTTAATTTACCAGAGCTATGCGGAATTTGATTAAACGATACGTAGGTTTTCGAAAAAAAAAAGTGAAATATTCGCGCAATCAAGGTACAAATTGTATTGTACGCGCGCGGGGGCTCGACAGAAATGGCCGAGAGAGATTCGCGCTTTGTTATGTGGATTGATTTATTCATGTCCCCCTCGCGCGCGCGCGGGATTTTTGATTGAAAATTTTCCACGCTTCGTGTATACGTGTATTATATAATATTTAAAAAACGAGACGATAAATACCCACCCGAACTATGTCACCCACCAACGACGCCATAAACATGTTGTCGAGCTTTATGTCCTCGTTCTCCAATATGTCCTTTGGGCAGAAAATGCGTCGATTAATAAACGCGAGTCATTAGCTACGTTCCACAATGATACATGAAATATTTAGGAGATGCAGTTTTTCAATTTACTTTCAGACTGCCTCGGGCGCAGTACTCGACGACGATGCAGATGTTGGGCGGCTCCGTACAAGCCCCGATGAACGAGTTCAAATTGTCGTGTCTCAGATCTCGCATCTGCAAGACATAAATAATTATTCGAATCGTATGAGCGTCGCGCGTCGGGCGAACGACACTCGCGGGGGGCACACTCACGATTTTGAGCTCCTTCTTCATTTGGCGGGTCATCTCGATTGACTTTTTGCGCACCTTTTTCACGGCGAACAGTCGGCCCTTGTAGACGCCCACGGGCGCGTAGATCATCGAGTAGCGAAAATCGACGTCGGGATTCGAGCTCAGCGACGCCTGGCTCGTGCGCACGTACGGCTGCTGCTGCTGCTGATTCGGACTCTATGGAAATCATCATCGTCAACGCAAACGACATCGAGAGCCGCACGATACGATCGTTAATTATATCGCGGGAGGGGATTGGGTGAAAAAGATAAAAAAGAGCCTCTGAATCGGTATAAAAAAAATTGAGTCTTTAATACATATAATCGACGATTAACAATATCTTGGTAAGGTTAATTGTTGTTGTCTGGCGACGTTTATCATTACTTAATGATTAAATGTTTACGATAATCGATGTAATACTGCAAGATATAGTGTTCGATATAACATCATTCGCGATAACAAATGTTTGTGTGTGTGTGTGTACGTCGGATGGCGCGCATCGGTTGCATTATTTGCGTTATAGGATGCAAACAGTGCACAAGAAAACAAAACGAGCTAACAGAATGTAAGCTCTCCTCTTATTGCGGCACGAAGTCGCGATCGTCGAAGCAGATCCTCTTGGCGCGCAGTCCCTCGAAGCCCTCGTACTTGCTCTGGCAGACGACGACCAGACACTGGCCCTGCTTGCCGTCCTGCTGCTCGTAGAACTGGGCTCGGACCAGGTGGGCGGTGAGTCCGCACTGGAAGCGCGGCGCCCGGAAGCTGCCCACTATCCTGCCCTCGGCGTCGACCTTGGTGATCTCGTGCGAGCTGCCGCGGCGCACGACGCGCTCGAGCTCGGCCTCGTTGTCCTTGGGCAGATTGTCGAGGTCGCACTTGGTCGCCATGAAGGTGGCCTCGTCGCAGCGCGTCGTCAGCAGCAGGAAGCCACCCTGGGGCAGATTGTGCATCGCCGTGCCGTAGATGTTGTAGTCGAAGGGCAGGACGGTGCGGGCGAGCTGCTTGCCCTGGAGGTCGTGCTGGGCGCAGTGGGTCTTGCGCTCGTGGCTGTGCACGCAGTAGCCGATTCTCTGGTGGGCCGTGGAGCCCACGGTGTAGTCGACGCCGGGCTTGTTGTAGCCGTAGGCCTCCTTGTACGAGGCCAGGATCTTTTTCGTAGCTACGAGGGAAAAAAGGAAGCGCGACATTGTAATTCGATCTACGTGACTAGCTTGTAAAATTTGAGATTATATGCCACTTACCATCGGGAGCGACCACGCTAACTTGAACGTCGGCGTTGAAGTCCGACTGGAGCAGCAGGAATCCTTTGTTGCCGCCCTCGATGGGGAAGAACTTGGACTCGAGGGTGCCCAGATCATTGGGTCCGCGGGCCAGCGAGTAGTAGTCGGAGCGTCTGCCGGCATCGTCGAAGGCCACCGTTGCGAGGGTCAGATCGGGTCCGCTGTACAGCACGTTGAAGCCGCGATTCGTCACGGCGTAGCGTCTCTCGTGGCCGCCGAACGCGTTGACGAAGTTCGGGGTCTCGCGCTGCCTGCAGCTCGGCATGTCGACGATCAGGCCGCGCAGGACGTACTGATTGGTGCGGCCTTGGCCGGCGGTGGCGAGCCAGCCCACCAGGGCACGCTGACGAGCCAACCAGACCACCTGGAGACTCTCGATGAGGATGTGCTCGAGCTTGTCGGGGCTGCCGCCGAGTTTCATGCGGCACATCTGACCCTGGCTCTGGTCGTCGGGTAGCAGAGTCTCGGCGACGAGTTCGCAGTCGGCCGATAGAGCTTGTTCATTTTCCAATGAGCACGAGGCGTAGACGATGGTCGAGTTCTGGGCGGGCGAGTCGCTCGACGCCGTGAACGTCTTGCCCGGGAACTTGTGATTCACGCTGGTCTCGGAGACGGCAGCTTGAACCCACGAACTGCAGAAGCAGCTCAAGCCCAGCACAACAATCAAACTCGTGGTAAACTTCATTTTGCCAGGTGCGCACTCGTCGATCGACGATCGCGAACTAAACTGCCTGATCCGCCAGCGCAGACTACTTAAATAGTCCCATCGCACCACCGCGTGTCGCTCGTCGAGTTTATTTTTTGTTGTACTTCTCCTCCTCGTGTCTCTTCTGTCTTCTGCTGCTTCTCTCTCTCTCTCTCTTTTTCTTTCTTTCATTTTTTTTTTGCCGTTTTGATTTAGGATGAAGCACTGCTGGCTTCTGTCACGATGGCATCGTTGCGCAATGACGCGCGCGCGCGACGCGTTTTTATTTTTTCTGCCTTGGCTTTTTACAACCAGTTTTATTTAAATTATAATTCATTTTTATTTCTCGACGATCGTATTTAACAGCTTTGTAAATATTAGCCGACACGTATTAACTTTTTTTCTCTTCAAGGAATGCGTATTGCACACAATTGTAAAGGTAAAGCTACGGTGTATAATAACGAGAGCGATGCCGCTCGGTGCTGAATTGTTTGCACGCCAGTACGTTGCAATAAAACGAAAAAAAAAAAATTAAAGAAAAGCAGCAGCGCTAAAAAAAGGTTACACGAAGAGGATACACGCGTGTCCCATGGTTGACGCGGCGCCGAAAAGCAGGAAAAAACGATTGTTCCCGTTTTGGTTTTATTATTGTTTTTCTTTCTCACACGAAACGTCTCAATTAGCGAGTTTTCGCGTAATTGTGCTCCCGAGGTCGAACGAGTGCCCCCCCTCGGATGATGGCCTTTACACAAAAAAAATCTCGACGGATCGATCGACAACGCGCGAAACACGTGCGCCGCGCCAAAAGCCCCGCGGAGCAACAAGAACGATTAACAAAAAAAAAAGGTCATAATGTATCTGCGAAGATCATCCACGTGTATGCTAATGCGTCTCGCGAGGTACCGGCGCAACCCGCGATGACGCATTGAATTCATACAATAAAATACAATAAACGTTTCCCGGTGGGACTGATTTTTGACTGCTCGTGGCCTTCGCGATCGGGCCACGACCAAGAGATGTGCTGCGTTTTTCCCCCGCGAGCGGCCAGGTAAACAATGCGGGCCAGGTGGAATAATCATGTTCGGACTGTACACAGATTGTATATAGTTTATGTTTAACGTGTTTTATTTACAAACTGTATATAATTTGTTTAATTTTTGGCAAATTTATCTTTTTATTTCAAAATAGTTTGTTTGAAATAGTTAATGATTATTTGTTATTGACCAAATTTGAGATAAATTTTAGTTTATTATTCGTTTCTTTCACATTTTGGCCGCAAGAATTAAAAATTTTTTTAAACGTTGTTATTAGCATGATTTTTAATTTTCCCTTTATATAGACAAAGTCCAGAAAAACCCATCAGCCAAAAAAGTAAAGTTAAGACGGGATGCATTTGAAATATTAAAAAATTTTGAAATTTTCAAAAAATTCAATCTAAACGCAACACTATTATTAATAATTAAAAATTTCTAGAAACAGAAGGAAGCTTATTTTTATTACCAAAAAACCATTTTCTAAATATCATAAAAAAATTATAAACAGTTTGTGTATAAAACGTGTTTCATATAAACTATATACAATCTGTATACAATCCGTATACACCATTTTTCCCCCTGGGTAAAACCAACTTCTTCTTTTTACAGCCCAAAAAACGTGAAATAAAATGAGGATCGAAGCTTTCGGGTGTCGTTTTGTACGTGTGACACGCAAATTAATGCCGAAGTCGGAGATTTTTTACGAGATTCATCGTTGAAGCGATATACAACTTTTTGACAATAGGGAAGTGTCGATGAGGCAATAACTCATAAATCTTCAAAAGTAATGTATTATTATAGCCCGTGTCATATGCAAACCAGTTCGATTCATAGCAAGTAAATAAGTTTGTTGTTTTTTTTTATTCCTGTATGCTCGCACTCGAAAAACTTCAATATATTAATATTCATGCATCACTATGAATTAACACGATTTTTTGCCTCAACGGCAAGTAGGTCAAATCGACTCGCTTTTTATTACACATATGCCTCTTTATTGCGGAAAGATTTTTTTCCACGCGACCAATTTATATAGTGTGCTCAGACTCAACTTTCGGGAGCGAAAAATCTATACACAAATATTGACGGCTTTTATGCACATATATAAAAATATTAACCGCTGTTAATGCAGAGATTCTCTTTTTTGCGCGATAATACTAACGTCGTTGCACTTGAGCAATTGCTGCTGCTGATCGTCAGCACCCGCAGTCGCAGCTGTACCGTTGGTCGCGGACTCCGCGTCTTTCGCGTCCTTGATTTCGATGTCCTTGTAATTGACCTTCCAGAGCAGAGAATCCAGCTCCTGCTCGTATCTCCAGTTCCGATAGGCGACGAGGGCGACGGCGCCGGCGACGAGCAGCAGACCTCCGGCCACGCCGCCGATTATTTCCCCGGTGTGAGCTGAGCATTGGGAAAAATCGAGGGAAAACGTGAGATTTCGTACATTATGCACGGCCGGTCGAGCGCGTGAATTATCGGCCTCGAGTATATAATGACAGAATCAACATTTTTTTTTTTATTTCAATATTGGCGTAGATGTGTACATATAGAATACACAATAAAAATGTCAAAGCGCGCGCTACGCCGTGATGGACGATTAAAGCTTGTTTAACGAGTAAACAGAATCCGCGTTTACTCTAGTGAAACAGACGAAAAAAAAGAGTGCGAGAGAGAGAGAGAGGAAAAGGAATAAAAAGAGAATATAAACGAAATGTCACTCGATCCCGAACAATATATCGTTATTTTATCAGCGCATAAAGTTAAAAGGTGCGATGATGCCCATCCCGTTTTTAGTATTATCTACCATTTATAATAGCACCGAGGGGCCGACAAAATAAACCAAGTGTGCAAAGTCTGCGCGAACGAAGATAGAGACTTTCCCTGGTTTATGCGCTATAGGGTGTTTTTACACTCTCTTCCTCTCTCTCTTCTCCCTGCAGTACTCGCGTGGGTGTATTACGCTAATGGACCAATGAATATTTGATAAAATAATGAATTTAGCGCGCGAAGTAACTCGAGTTTTAAGAAATATTTTTTTCGCAACGGACACAAAAAGCTGCAAAAATGTTTGCCCCGATACATGCCATTGTCTCACTCTCGCCCGTATGATATATAAGAGTTACCATGTAGTTTCTTTGGGACGTGATTAATGGGCTCTTTGCGCTAAAAGTTTCGAAATCGTCATCGCAGTTTGTCTCATTAGGCAGCCATGCGAGCGCAGCAGTGATACGTCGGAGAATTGCACAATTAGTTGATACGAAAGAAGAAGAAGAAAAAATGTCACTCGGTCCCTGCGTGATCCCGCGCGCGACCATCGCGATTAGTATTTATTTGCGCAAATGGTCGATACGTTAAAAATTATTTATGTAAATTGCGAAATTGTTTTGTCAACGCGGCATAATGATGCGTAAAACGATAATTGTCGCGCGTCTTCCGTTGTCTTTACGGGACACGTGATCGAGATTTGCCAATATTTATATCAATGCAAATACTTTATTAAAATCTACAAAGAAAGGTTAATACTCACAGTAGCATTTCTCGCCGTGGTAGCCGCAGTAGGGCTCGGCCACGGGCGGTCTACCGTCCACCCAAGGGATGCTGCGTATCACTCGCAGTAGCTGCACATGGCCATTTAATAAGGCTTAAATCGATAAAGAGGAATTTAAAAAAGTTGGAAAATTCGTGAAAAAATCGCACCGGTAAATTGGTATTATTCTCCTTGCCGACGAAGTTGGCGATCGGATAGAGGCCGTAACCTTTGCTGCTCTGATAGTCGAGCCCTATGAGCGTGTAATTCCCCTCCGGGTCGCCGTTCTCGTCCATGTACACCATATAGCTACGTCATGAAAATAGAGAAAGAAAGAAAGAAAGAAAAGTAGTCGAAATTGAATTTGCGTTCAATAACCTCGAGCGAGATTTTCCTCGGCGAAATAATAATATTAACGCGATACCGTCATATATATCGTATTATTTCACGCGCCGTGGCGCGCGCACCGAGTATAATGTGAAAAAAATGTGTGTGTGTGGAATATACCTTACCCCATGGCGCTGCGATAGTGTAGCCCATAAAGCGAGGAAATGATCTTCTTACCGTCTCGTGGATCGCGGCCCTCGTCCAGCGCCCGCACGAGACTCTCCGCGTAAATGTGCACGGCGTCGTAGAGATAGGCGGTTTCCGGCACGGCCTGCAATGTGCACATAGGAGGGCGACGCAATAGCAAGCATAAGTAAGGCGGTACAATTATTTTTCGCTTGTAATTAAAAAATTCCGCGTATACACCGTTGAAAATATTTTACGTTAAAATGTAAAGGTGCAGAGGAAGTTTTTTTTTCCTCGACAAAGATGAATTCTAATTCATGTTGAAGTACAAGGGAAATCAATGCGATTTGATTTTATGATTTTTTCATCAAGCATTTAACATTAAATTTAATGTGATATCTTTTTTACTAATTTTACATCTTATAGAATCTTATAGACCTATAGATTCAGGTCATACTTAAAATTTGAACAAGATGTTTTCACTTATACAATTATTTTTACGTTGCTACTTGCAGATTTACAGCTGAAGGTACTCGCCATCTAGTGGTAAAGTCTGGCTTTAATCATGATTGAAATTTTACATATTTTTGATCAATCAACGCAAAACATAAATCAATATTATGGCATTAATTTTTAATCGAAATGTATAAATTTGAGTGCAGAATTAATATTTTTTGTTTGAAAAGAATGTATGTGATTGCATTTCCTACAATTTTTATGCAATTTTATGTAAAAAATACATCTGTAAAGCAAAATCGTATCGGTTGCTTAACAATTAATGTCAGATTTTACATTAAATCTGCATCAAATTCAATGTTTTTCCTCTCTACGTAAAATTTTTCCGTCACCTGAACGTGTCCCTCCTCCTTGAAGCTCTTGAGCGGATTCTTAAAGTTGAACGGCGGCCTCTGTCGATACTCGTCCACCCGATTGGCGAAGCTCAGATAGCCGATGGGCGCCGAGCCGACGACGCTGAAGTACGAGCGCAGTATGCGCAGCGAGCGCGAGTCCGGATACTTTTTCAGCAGGCCGCGCACGTAGACGTCGGGCTCGCGCGCGTTGTACGTCTCCGTGTTGACGCCCACTACCCAGTATTGTCCTGTCGCGATTTTAGAAAATTAACAATGGATTTCGACGGAATATCATTTAATTACGATGACGAAGAGAACGCAACGAACCGCTCTGCAACAGGTCCCTCTTGTCCAAGGCCATCAATAAGCCGATGTGCTCCTCGACGTTGCCCAAAATCACGTATACTGCGGAAGAAAAAGGAAACTAACTGCAAGCCTTTGATCGGTCGAAATTGAATTTTCCACTACACCTATATCGGCGAGGCGATAGTTGGAAGAAACAACAACGGCAGCAGCAACGAAACATTATTTATATCCAGGAGCCATTCGATATACCGCGCGGCGGCGCGTGACAATATAAACCGCATAAATCCTCGCAAACGTGCGCCACCGCCCGAGCCCGAGTATTTATAGAGCGGCACGTGTGCGACGATTACATATAGATGTGCGTTATACTATATAAGCTGCGCTTGCCCGTGATACACGACTAGATATAGCCATATAGCTATACAAGCGACAAATAGGCTTACACCAGCGAATGCCAATAATAGATAGATATTCTCTTCTTTTTTATCGCTCCTGTGTGCGTTTGTAAATACAGCTCGATTTTATTGGCCTTTTTATTTTCTTATTTACTCACTTCTCGTCTCGCGATGAGTCTCGGCGATGATCTTGTCGAAGGGATTGTTGAGGTGCTGCTCGACGACGCGATACGACTCGTCCCAGCAGCTGACGCTGTTCAGCTCGACGCCCGCGTTCTCGAGCGAGGACAGAATCGTGCGGGCCACGGTCGGACCCTCGTACACGTCGAAATTCGACGTGTTCATGAATACGAATGACACCTGTGGACGAGACAAAGAAACGTGAGTTTATGTATGGCGCAACGCGACTTTGTTGTTGTCGTCGTCGTCGTCGTCTATTCACCTTCGTCCAGTTGAATGCCTTTAATACGGCGACGACGGATTTGGATATCTGCGTGTCGGGCGGTCGGGTCCGGGCGAACGTCGGGAACTCGTTCTTATTCGACGTCTCGCGATTCGTACAGTACTGAAAATGCATATTAATGGGAGATGAAAGTGTATACTATCGCATTGGATCCGATATACAGTTGTCATGCACAACACGATTTCGTATCAAAGTAACGCGACACAAGAAAATTAAAAACGATTTTAATCATTCTTAAAAACGCTATGTATCTGTTTGACAAATAACCTTTTGACTTATTGTTCAAATTGTAACGGCTGAGGACTTGACGCTGGCGTGAGATGAGAGCTTGGTAGGGCAAAGACGCGCGAAATTTTGGCGGCTTTCATTGTTCTATGTAAAATTTTCGTTCAGTTGGTATTTATCGCTCAGCAAGCTTATAGCTATTGGTAGAGCCTTTTCGCCCTGGCCCTGCTCTTATATCACGTCAACGATGAAAAAGTCAAGTTACACATTGTCGTGTTTTTTTACACTTATATAGTAATCTGACTACAGTTTAACCACTTAGGGGTGCAACGTACGCCATCTAGGTGAAGCATCGAAACTTATTTCGGCAATTTTTCCACGTTTTTCGACACTTGTTGATTGTTGATGTTCGTCAGGCAATTTTAAAAATTTAAGAGCTACTAGTTGGTGCGGAATCGCTTTGTGAATTTTCCGATGATGAAATTTCGTATTGAATTTCATTTAGACTCGGACATTCATGTTTCTCTCCACAGCCGGGAGCTTATAAAGTGCTAAAATTTGAACACACGTTTGTCTACCGAACAACACAACCAACGACTTGAAACGCGAAAAAATCATTTATACGCTGTTCGAGATGAAAAAAATACACTTCGATAAGCGGTACAGTAGACAGCGGAGTAATTTGAATTTACACTTACTCGAGTGTAAATTTTGTTGCAACAAATAATTTGGCTTAGCGATCATTTTCGGAGTCAGAAAAATAGAAATAATAGCGTTGGCTAAAACGAATTCCAGGGCATTTGCTTTCTTCGCAATTAGAACTATTATTATAGTCTTTGAAACTATGTTTATTTGCATTGATGATCATTTATGCTAAAGCAAAATTGATAATTTTTGTAGCCATTCCCGATACATAGCTTTAAAAGACCCTATCTGATATTTAATAATAAAAACGATGACAAGCGAGACGAAAAAAAAAACAGACGTGTGCGTACGTAAGATATCATGGGCAGATTGAAGGCGGCGGCCATGCGTCCCTCGTGCACGCAGGTCTCCTGGGGCCCGATGTAGGCGCTCACGTTCCTGGTCCAGAGCTCGGCTATCATGAGTATGCTGCGCTCCTCCTCGCCGTACGTCTCGGCCACGTAAAAGTCCAGCCGGTGCCCGCGTCTGGCCAGCTCGCCACCGTTCACCTGCAAAATCCATTTTCGTATATATATGCAATTTCGGGTGTACACGAATGCAAGAGACGTTTTTATTTTATGTATATATGTACCTCGTCGACCGCCAACGTTATGGCACCGGATATCTGCAAGCCCGGCCGCGAGTACTCGAAATCGCCGGGTCGTCTCTTCGAGCCGGTCACGTAGCCGATGGTGAAGGTCTCGGCCTCGACGACGACGACGATCCCGACGCCGCTCAGCAACGCGTGAGCCAGCAGCAGCCTCCAAGTCGTCGTCCAAGCTCCTGCGCTCGCTCGAGTTATCATCACCGTTGCTTGTTTTCATATTAACACATCCTTTACGGGGAATTCCCGTGGAGAAATCTTTTACGAGTGGTCCCGCTTTCTTCGCGATATTCTGAAGCACCAGTTTTAAAAAGATAATTGATTTTTACAACTCGTTTAATTGTTTCATTTCTGCTGAAGGTCGAAATCACAACGTAATTATCAATTGCTTTACACGTGAGTAGGCAGGAAAATTATCACAAGGTTATAGAGATCTGATCTATGTATTCAGTCGAATTCGCCAGTGATTCCACGTTATTAATTTTGCTCCCTCATAGAGGAAGCTCTGTGTTAGGCTCGAAAACGAGATTTTGACCAGACCTCGTCGGACAATTTGGTTTTTGAAATACAAAAATGAAATACGAATTTTTCCTTTAATAACTAAACCCTTTCATTAATATAATTTTTTATGAGGAAGAACTTTGCCATTGGATTAGGAGCAATGAGCGGTGTTTACTCTATTTGTAATTAATATTGGATTAGGAGCAATCAGCGGTGTTTACTCTATTTGTAATTAATACTAAAACTTTGCTTTTTCTCTTTTGGTTTCCGAAAATTCATCTGTACGCCATCTAGTGGTAACTAATGAACTACTGCTCCTCTGAAATGTATAGTTAACTTGAGAGAAACTTTCAATATTTTTCCTTAGTACAAAATAAATTAAACTTTTGTATTTTTTATGAGGTGTTAATTTTAATTCGATCAACTTTCATAAAATAACGGCATAAGTATTTTATTGATAAATTATTCACTCATAAAAATCATTGACTGATTGATTGTAACTTTTGTAAATTTTAAGTAAAATTTAATATAAAAGGTCATTAACGACCGATATACTAAGGTAAAACAAAAGCTGGCAGAATCTCGAGGAATTTTCGCAATCACTTCGTGCGGTACCATACGGGTGTTCGAGTTTATTTCTTTTTCTTCCCTTTCTTCTTCGACACGTGAACGCACTCTCGACTACGCGTACAGGGCCAAGTGCTCAGACATCGGCAGCATCGCTATATCTATATATTTTTTTTATATACAGCAGTGGCATTAGCCGCAATATAAATACTATATCGATCTCAGGCGAGCGTCGTCGGGGGCTTCGAAAGCTCGGCGGGTGCGCGTCAAATGTTTTTTGTTGTTATCGCTCACACACACACACACACACTCGAGACAGCCAATATAGGCTCGCGCATTAAGCTTTTATAGCTCTGGAGAGTTTGCTGATCCCCAGGGTGGTTATAATAATACACTCTTTTCTCTGATAATTTTCATCTCGTCGTGGTCGAGAAATGAGGAGGACAACAGGGATGTCCAATGCTCGGTTCGTGTGATTTTAACGAGCGATTTACAGGCGATAAATCGGTATGGAGCTTACATAATAATGCGAATCGATACGCAGCTATACGGTTGTGTGAAAATATTTTCACGCGACGCATAACGTGGGTGCAAACGCGTTGAGTGAATTCTCATTCTAGCATCACGCTGAAAGTCACTTTAATCGAATGAAAAGGTTTTACTTGTACTTTCTTTCTCTTTTTTCTCCATGCTGTTACAATATATTTAGTCAGGGAGAGTGAATTATGAATCTTTGCAGTGCTCGCGACACTAGAAGTAACTCGAGTGTCCGTGCATGAATTTTAAAGCATGCTAGCTCTTTTTCACGTCACTTCACGTACTGAAAAATCATTTTTTGTTTTATCTTCGAAATTTTTCTCCGAAATAATATATCGTTTATGAAAAATATTTATTAGGCACGACATTGAATTTGTAATTTCTTCAAACCCAGACTACTTTACAACTATCTAAGTTAGTTATTATCTAAGCTATTCAGTACTTTTTTGAATAAGGATTTCGATAGACAGAAAAGTATGAAGATAGCCCCTAGATAAGAAAAATACTCTTATCCTAGTAATTTTTTTATCTAAATTTTTAAATCACAAGTATTATTATCGGCTCAATGTCAACTTTCTAGAACAGGATACCACGTTATGTTCGTTTCATAGTGCATTATACCTTACAACTATAAATAATGTGTAAGAAGTGCAATATATTTTTTTGAGAATAGCTTGAATACGTTACAAGAAAAATCCATTTTTTTTATTAATATTAATAAAAAGCCAACAATTGAATATTAAGAATTTATTTCTATACAAAAAATGCATTGAAACTGTTTAAATTTTTAATAGTTTGAGAATTATGTACGATTCATGATATAAGAATGTAAAAATGAAATGTTAAGGTTCTATTATTATGAACTATAACTACCTAAACATAACTACGACTTCAAATCGCATTCTAAACAACAGTAGCTATCTATTAAGTATAATAAATACAATTTTTTACATTAATACCAATAATTAACACTCATTTTATTCAGTACAATATTGACTTTTTGGTAAACTACTCGCTAGATTTTATTGATTTACCGTCAATAAAAATCATGTCAGATCTATTGGCAAGAATTGACAAATGTACCATGGAAAAAGAAGAATCAAAATCGCAACACGTATCAGATATTTTAGTCGAAAAAATTATGACTGAAAAATACCCGTTAATGACAATTTTTTTGAAAGTTTCATTTTTCTGGCCCTATTGGAGTGGTTTAAAGAAATACGGAATATCGTCATTGACAACCTTAATAGTCTCGTTAGCTTTTGTATCATTGGTAATGATCAGTCATTGTAAAATTAAACTTCTTCAATGAGATTTCATTAATGATTTCATCAGATAATAATTATAGATAATTCGTTTAATAGAAGAAATAAGCAAAGAAGTATTAGACCTTCGATTGATTAGTGATTGCTTAATTCAAATTCTTTCATGTCCATTTAATTTATACTCTATTTATTTGTTCATTTATAATAAAAGTGGTATTCGTAGGGTGAGAGAAATATTCTAAGCAATTATTTCTAAAATTATTAACAATATATTTTAATTTTAATCATAAGTACAGGTTTTTTTTAATTCTATTTTTTTAAGATGAGAATATTATGCGATGGATTGATAGCAGATTGGATTCAATGTACCACCGAAGAAAAATTGTTTGTTCAATGTTATATTGATGCATCTAATGTAATTTGTTACGCAGCGTTAGGTATGATTCAAATAATCAATACATATTAGAAGTTTCATAATGTACTGATTTTCTAAGGCGCATACACTATTGGAATACTATGTTACCTTTTTTTCCCATTAATTTCGTCCTTTACATCTGATAATTTTGATGGAAATGGTACTTTTCAAAAATGCCAACTCGTCTATTTGGAACCATTTGTAGACGAAGAGAAATATTTTTACTATATCTTAACTTTCATAATAGCTGGTATGATTATACTTTTTTTTGCGATAGTGAGTTGGGCACAATTGTACATAAATACAGCTTATTATTTAGAAGGAAAATTCAGATATTTGGGGTATGTTAAAGTAAAATTACTACTCTGTAAAGTAAGTTGTTCAATGAAAAAAATAATATTTTGCAATGTTTAATCAGATTAAAGTTATGGTATATTTCTGATGTCAGTGAGAAAAAGGATGTATTGAATAAGAATGACAGTGAAGTAATTAATTTTCATGTCAACGAAATGGTTAAAATGCATCAAAATTGCTTAAAGTTGAGTTACAATAATGGAAAATGTTTCTATATCCATATTCATCAGTATTTTCTAACTATCTTCGCTGTTTAAAAAAACTGAAGTAGTTTATATTTATGTGTTTACTTTGATTTATCATCAGTTTTCAAATATATCTATAATTCAATTTTAACTTTTTGGATCATCATTCAATTCTTAAATCTGATGAAATTTTAATATTTTTTCATATAATTTTGTTTTTCAGTCTGGTGCATAAATTTAATGATCACTATGATTCATCTTTGTTCATTGCTATGCTGAGCATAATCTTAATTTTCAGTGTATCTGGGAGCATGGTAATGTTTTCAAATTTTTAATTGAGTAATTAGCCGGAGAAATAATTAAATAAGTAATATTTGTTAAAGGCAGTTCATCAATTACATGAGAATACATACTTTACAATAAAGATGTGCTTTGTATATTTTATGGGCATCGAATTTTTATTACTTACAGCAATGTTTTCTCAAAAAGTATATAATGCCAATGAAGATATAATTTTTACATGGTGAAAATCTTAACACAAGAATATTTTTATTATCATTTTATATAAATCAGTGTTTACAGCGCTGAAAATTTTAGCAAAGGATTCTTTTCGGTTTTTTAAATGAAAAATTCTTAGTACTCATCCCTAATAATAATCTCATGATGACAATTGAAATATATCGAGAAATTGTTAATAAAATTTAATAAAACAATTTTTTGAATAGTTACAGTATTGATTGGTACAAATATTCCCTAAAAACGAGAAAGATATTACAAATGATGATGATTCGAGCTATCAAACCTAGCGGCTTAAAAATTGGACCAAGTAAACCTTTAAATTTTGAAACAATTGGAACGGTAACTATATTATATCCATAAACAGTAAAGTAAATAACTAATTAATTTTTGTTTGTTCAGCTCATTCGATTGACTTTATCCTATATAGTATCTTTGTTATCATTACTGTAAATCAATGAGACGAAAAAGCCAATCTTGAAAAAGGTTTACCATTTCATTAGAATAGTAAGGTAAAACACTCAATGATGGATACGGTTAAAAAAAAATAAAGTTAAATAAACAGTAAATACTTAATGTGTATCATTGTCGCCCAGGTCTTTAGTTTGTAAAGGAATATAGCCGAATTGTCCTTGAAAAATGTATGATAAACCTCTTATATAAAGCATAAAATGTTACATTTAAGTAAAAAATTTTTCAATTTTCTTATAAAATTTTTCATTTCTATGTAGTGTAACTTATTTTATAAAGAATTCTACATCAAAACTATAAATAATTTACAAGAAACTTTTTTATTATAAAGAATATAATTTATATTATATAACTAGTAGTTGTAGAATGCAAGCTACTAATATACTTAAA